AGGATCTGGGGGACAACTAACGATCCCAGAGAGAAGTTAATGGCTTTTCCAAGTCTATAGCCAGTTTAGTGAGAAACGCTAAGTTCCGAACCAAAAGAGCACTGCCTGTTAGAATGTTGTTCTGAAGTAGACTTACTTTCACATTGATTAACAGGTAATTTCTATTAGCCGAGTTTTACCAAAGAAACTTTGCAATAGTACTTAATGAGCTCAAAAGAAAATATTTCTTTGTTTTTTCCTGGTTCCCCCACACACGAACACACACAACAGCAGCCGTTGGCTTTGTTGCCCAAGCGTAGAGGTGGCCAGTGGCCATGGGGCATCGCGGTCCTAGCTCACAGCAACCTCACTCTGGGCTAAGCAATTTGCCTCAGCCCTCGCCGAGTAACGCTACTACAGCTCATGCCACCATGCTGTAATGTCCCTGTTATATATTTACGTTGGCCAAATTGAATCTTTTTATTTTTAGCAGAGACAGTGCTCTCCGCTCTTGCTCAGCGCTGGCCTTGAAACTCCTACCTCAGAAGCCATGACGCCCGCCCTTCAGCTTCCCAGAGTGCCGTGGACTTACGGTGCACGGCCAGCCAGGTTCCTGTGTGTGTTTTGTTGTTTGTTGAACAAGAGTCTCACTGTCTCGACCGGGCTAGATTCTTGTGCATTGAGGTGTAGGCTGCACGCACTCACTCTAGCTCACCGCGAGTAATCCTCCTCCCTCAGCTCCAGAATAGCTGAGGGTACGTACCAGGGTTTCATGCGCATCCGGATGCGTAGCTAACTGTTCGCGGTCTCTAGTATATTTCTGTAGGCCTGGGCCCAACTGGGAGATTTCTTCCGTGAGTCTTAGTAGGGGAGGCACAGGCGGGTCCTGTGGCTCGGTGCCTTCACGGCCTGGTTTTTCGGAGTCCGCCTGCGACGCTCGCTTGAGGCGAGCCTCCCACCTCGCGGTGGGCCTCCCAGAGTGCCTAGGATTACAGGCGTCGGCAGCCACTGTGCCCCAGCCAGAAAAACGGATTCGTTCTTTGAAGGAGTTTACCCTTAGGTATTACGCTTGATGGGGCGACAGTGGATTTATAGGCCATTGTTGGATTATAGTTCATCTTGTATAGGAAACAAAGGATTTTTTCAGCCCTAGGTGACATTGACCGCTAATTTCTTGAATCAAAGTTGGGCCGTCCACAATGTTTCCATTCCCTGGGGCCGTATGGTAGATTATTAATTAAATGACACCAGGCAATGGCTGTACGACTAGGAATTAAGAGAGGACCTGGGCCGTGGGGCCGTCTCTCTAAGCGACTGGCGGCCGTAGTTCTCTACACTTTCTTAGAAAATCACAATAAAAAGCTGTTCGTAAGGGGAAAAAGGGTGAGTTGCCCACAAAGAGCATCGGTTGGCCCGAGTAAGTCATTACTTGGACTGAATGCATCTGTTTCAGGGTAATGAAATTTATGGCTAGTTCTCTAATTTGCATTCTAAATCAATAAATATATGTTTTAAATTTCACAGCGCTTCTCCCATGGTTTGGCATGGGACATTGGCGAGACTCTAGTAAAGCTCTCATATGTTTGAGGCCTATTGATATCACCCAGCAGAGGAAGAACCAAGAAGAAGTTGAGAGGCGCGTGAAAGTATTCGGGAATATTCGACTTCTAACGTAGTGCTAGTATGGATGCCACGGCATTCGGGATGTACGACTTGAAAGCTAAGGTTTAACACTTTGTTGGCCGAAGGAGGAAGGCGGAACTGCACTTTATTCAGATTTCCAACCCAGGACGTACCTAGCTTTTATCCAAATGGGAAGAGATGACGCGAGAAGACTCTCGACACTTACAAACGTGCGTATGCTGCTTATCAGGAGGGCGGGTGGGTGCCGTTACAAGTTTTAAAAGCGATTTTCGCGACAAGTAGAAGTATCTGTTACTCAAAACCAAAAATTGCACACGGCCTTCTGCTTCAAGTTTTTTAGCAGGAATTATACAGATAGCTTTTCCATCTGGCATGGAGGGAGTCTTCATTTGGGGTATTTTGAAGACATCTTATGGGATGACTAAACTTGCCCAGGTTTGCGGCATGTTGTTGCATATAATAATATTATGAGAATAAACAAACAATGGCCTAAGTTGCTGGTCCGGATCGGGTGGTTATGCAGAACTTATGTTTTTTTCCACATTAGTGTCACTAAAGTGGGTATTCAACCCGCCCATGCTGCTACAATTTGACTGGTTTAAAAAAAATATAGATAAAATAAGAATAAAAAAAACCTGGCTAAGTTAGGACTATGCTACAAAAGGAGGGAAAGGCACTGTGGTCTGAGCCTAGGCTCACAGCAGCCTCCGAAAGACTCCTGTGTTCGGAGTGATCCCTCCCGCATCACCTCCTAAGTAACTGGGACTACAGGCCATGCACCACCCACACCGGCCTTAGCAGTTCTTCTTCTATTTAGTAGCAGACTGGATCTCCTTCGCTGCTCAGCTCCCGGGCGTCTCCCTTAACTTAAGCCAGTCTTTCCGCCTGGGCGCTTCCCAGAGTGCTACGGCGATTACAGTGGTGAGCCACCCGACTTGTGGCCTAAGAATGGGGGATTTCCGTGAATTTGGGTCGGCTGGTTATAAAGCCACGGATGGCGCATGAAGTGGGACTTTGATAGCTGTTTTTCGGCTGGTAGTCCTAGAGTGTTTGCATCGTTTTTTTGATTTTATGCGCATTGTGAGAGAGGAAGGGGAGGAGAGAATCCCTGCCTACCTGTAGCCTCCCCATGAAGCTGCGGGACGACAGCGCATGTGCCACCAGCGCGCCCACTTGGATAGGTTGATTTATATGGTCACTTTTTTCCAGGGCTGTCTCCTTCCCAGAAAACTCCAGAATTTAGAAGCCAGCTGTCTCTTCTGTTACTAGCATAGCCTAATGGAAATCCCTGGTTATCCGCTTTTTTGCTGGTTTTCAATCCACCAAGCCGTCCATGCGTTCCTGTCTCAAAAGGGGGGGTGATCTTGGAATATCGAACAGAGGGCAGCTGTGAGTTATTGGTTTCATTATGTTCTGCTTTTAGGGGTTGCCAAGCGTCTGGTCTTTCCCATTGAGAATAAAGATTCAAAGTTAGTATTTGAGGGGGCGCTAACTAAATTATTGTTTTGTTCTCCCTTGAATAATGCCAATGTTACATTCTGAAACGGTCATTTAAAAAGATGCTGGTTAGTCATTAGAATATACATTAATCACTTATGCATGGTTCACCCATAAAGTTAGCGTCTTTATATTTGGCGGTAGTTAAATATACAGCATGTTTGGGTCCGGGTCGCGGTGGCTCACGCCTGTTAATCCTAGCTCTCTGGGAGGCCGAGGGCGGTGGATTGCCTCGAGTCAAGGAGGTTTCCGGCACAGACCAGCGCTGAGCGAACGTAGCCGAGACCCGCGGTGCGTGCTTACGTATAAATAGAAAGAAATGTAATTGGCGCAGAGACTCACGATACATATAGAAAAAAAAAAAAGGCCGCGATGGGTGGCCACCATGCTGTCCAGTCCCAAGCCTACTTGGAGGTGAGGCGGAGGGAGATTGCTTGAGCCCAGCGGTTTCGAGTTGCTGTGGCTAGGCTGACGCCACGCGGCACTCACTCTAGCCCGTGGGCCAAACAAAGTGAGACTCTGTTCTTTCAAAAAAAAAAAAAGGATGCGCAATTTTTAATTTGACATGTTATTTTGATGTACTGGCTGCTTGTCCATTCTAGTTAGATTGCCTGACATAATTCCGATTGAATTTGGAGGAATTAGTTTTGGACCTGGTGGCTGCTACTACCCGTGTTTCTTGCCTCGGAACAAGGCTTTCACCTGCCTGCTAGAAGTATTATTGTTATCCAAATATGCTTCTAATTTTTTAAAATATCTTAACAATATTCTCTAATGACAAAGTTCTATAAATTTTTTTGTCGATAGTCATTTATTAGGCAAATATTTGAGCATCTAGCACATGTCAGGTATTGTGCTAAACACTGGAAGAACACAGCTGGGATTAAGACACAGACTTAGGTCTCAAAGAGTATAGTATTCTAGATCACACAGATAAGTAAATTATAAGTAAAGTACAGTGCATTATAATGAATACTATTGCAATGACAAAAAGGTACCATAGGAACACAGTGGTACCTGACAACTCATAGAGAATTGAAGAGCTTCCTAGAGGAAGTGATATCTAAACTGAGATCTTTTATAAGAAATATTTTATAATATACCCTTTACTAACGTGAAAATTTAATAATTTCAAACAAAGTATAATATGAAGCCAGGATATTAAGATGTTTACATATCAGTAGGTTGATTTACTGGTATGCTCATACTCAGAGGATATAATGAAATACTTAGATGTTCACACCTATACATAGATTCATGAATAGCAAAGCTATAAATGCCAGATGGATATATGGTATATTTTATTGAAAAATTAGATACTGTTAGTGGTATTGCTGCTCATGCCACACAACACTTAGTAAAATTCTAAACAGTAAAAAGCACAGTATTCCCCTGAGTTTTATGGTGGTTGAATTTCTAACAAATTTAGTATGTACTAAAACCATATGAAGAGTACTTTGTATTTATAGACAGAGGTAGATGAGATACTTTATTCTTAGATAGGCTCAGATAATTATAAACAAATTTTCCCACTGCCACTACAAAAATGTCTGGCAGAACACTAAAAGATAATGCAGAAATGGGATAATTGTGTGTTTTGCAGAACTGTCTCACCCATTACAGATGTCTGGCATCTCAAGTCCCTGCCCACTAAATATCATTTTGATCCTTCCCTCCTCCCTGTTGTTTGAAAGCCAAAATGTCCCCGGGCATGATAGCACCCTCACTGAGAACCAGTGAACTAAATGCAATCTGTAAGAGATTTTGACATGAACAAAACAAGTAAAAGTGTAGGGATTATACGTGAAAATTATGTAGTACAGTTGAGTCAAGTATTTTGAATACTGTCCTTTTTCTTAATTTAAATTTTTTTTCAACAGATTGGAAACCTCCACTTGCACAAACTGGATGAACTTGACTGCCTTGTAAAGGGCTTGCTGTACATAGATTCTGTCAGTTTCAATGGACAAGCAGAGTGCTATTATTTTGCTAATGCCTCAGAACCTGAGCGATGCCAAAAGATGCCTTTTAACCTAGACGATCCCTATCCACTGCTGGTAGTGAATATTGGCTCGGGAGTCAGTATTTTAGCAGTCCATTCCAAAGACAACTATAAACGAGTGACTGGGACAAGGTAGTAACCTTTGGCCTTATTGCAGCATTCACATTGTTTTATACATAGAAGTTATGAAATTAATATATAAATGTTAATTTCCAAGGAAAATAACATGGATTTGTACAGTAGCTAAAAATGTAGGTGTGTGTTAAAATGTTGCAGATATCTTTTTATAAGATATGTATATAAAGACTCAAAATTATTAAATATTTATTATTGATCAGTATCAGCATCAAAATTTTCATAGTTATAAGAGTGAGTTTTTATCTAATCTAGAAAGATTCTTTTTTTTTTTTCCTAGACTCTTCCACCTGGAGTAAGTATCTAGAAAGATTCCAACAACAGGCGGAGCGCAGTAGCTTATACCTGTAATCCTAGCACTCTGGGAGGCCGAGGAGGGAGAATTGCTCGAGGTCAGGAGTTCGAAACCAGCCTGAGCAAAAGCGAGACCCCCATCTCTACTACAAATAGAAATTAGTTGGCCAACTAATATATATAGAAAAAATTAGCCGGGCATGGTGGCACATGCCTGTACTCCCAGCTACTTGGGAGGCTGAGGCAGAAGGATTGCATGAGCCCAGGAGATTGAGGTTGCTGTGAGCTAGGCTAACGCCACGGCACTCACTCTAGCCTAGGCAACAAAGTGAGACTCTGTCTCAAAAAAAAAATAAAACAAACTGTAGTATCTGTTTATAATTTGTTTTTTAATTTTCTAAAGCATTTTTCTTCTTTCCCTATTATTATACTTTTTGAGACAGTCTTACTCCATAGCCCCAGGTAGAGTGCAGTGGTATCATCATAGCTCACTGCAACAAACTTCTGGGCTCAAGCAATACTCCTGCCTCAGCCTTCCAAGAGGCTGGGACTATAGGTGCCACCACTCCCAGCTAATTTTTTCTATTTTTGGTAGAGATGAGGTCTTTCACTTATTAATGGATATATTTAAGCCTAAAGCTTGCCATGTGCTGAATAGATCCGGACTTAATCTGCAGATTAGGTAATATTGTAATTGGGAAATATTGTAATTCTCACTGGATGAATTTAATGTGAACTCCTAAGGTAATAACATTAATGTTCCCAAATAGCGCATAAAATTTTCTGTAGTAACTAAAATGAATGTGAAAAGATTTAAAACTTTTCTTTGTGATTCTTTTACATACCTTATAAACTTTTAAGGTGAGGTGGAGACTTCTGTTTAATTAATAAGGAAGAAAGATTTTGGGATACTTTAGATAGATTTGTAAAATCATTTAAATTTTAATTTAAAATAGTACTTTATTTTTATAGTGGTTTAAAAGTCCACCTCCATTGTAACTCTATGCCAAAGAATTATACACAAGTATTACCTATTTCAGTTAACTCTTAGGAGAGAGCCTTTAGTGATTCAGGGATAGAATCTGTTAGCAATTTAGGTGAGACTAGTGAGCAAATGTTTTGGGGTGGTTTTTGTTTGTTTGTTTTGTTATTTTTTGAGACAGAGTCTCACTGTGTTGTCCTGGCTAGAGTGTCATGGCATGTCAGCATAGCTCACAGCAACCTCAAACTCCTGGGCTCAAGCAATCCTACTGCCTCAGCCTCCTGAGTAGCTGGGACTTAACAGGCATGCGCCACCATGCCTGGCTAATTTTTTTTTATATATTTTCACTTGGCCAATTAATTTTTTTCTATTTTTTAGTAGAGAACGGGGGTCTTGCTCTTACTCAGGCTGGTCTCAGAACTCCTGAGCTCAAACTATCTCCCGCCTCAGCCTCCCAGAGTGCTAGGGTTACAGGCATGAGCCACCTTGCCTGGCCTAAGCAAAGGTTTTGAGTGTAGGAATTGGAACAATATAATTTCATTTTATGAACATATCCAAATGAAGAATAGAGCCAGGTAAATTTCTGTCATTAACAAGTTGAACAACTGGATATAAGTTTTCTCATATTTATGTCTAGGTCATGTTAAATAGTAATGCATCACACCGAATTCATTTCAGCTATGTCAGGCCAAGTGACTAAGCCTTTCACAAAATCATTTCCTGGAAGCTATTTAAAATTACAGATTTTCTCATTTTAATTCATATGGTACTAATTTTTAACATTTATTCCTTTTAATGCACATACAAATGTATTTTTAGCAACTACAAAGTGTAAGGTATTGGGTGAAGGCTTTGGAAGGTATTTAAAAGGTCGCTCCTGTCCTCATGGTTCCATCAAGTGATTTTTTTCCTTTGGTGTATTCTTTGATCTGACAAGTTTGATTTTACCAAGGAGTTTTTCTTGCCTTTTTTCATTATGTGATTATTTTAGCACTTAGCAGTAGTATTATGTTTTTTGTGTGTGTTTATTGAATAAATGAATGATCTACCCTTTTACTTTGGAGAAAATACAGTTTATAAATGCACCTTAGCAAGTTTCTTTCTTTTCTTTAGCCTTGGAGGGGGTACCTTTCTGGGTTTATGCAGTTTATTGACTGGCTGTGAAAGTTTTGAAGAGGCTCTTGAAATGGCATCCAAAGGTGACAGCACCCAAGCTGACAAGCTGGTCCGTGATATTTATGGAGGAGATTATGAAAGATTTGGTCTGCCAGGTTGGGCTGTAGCATCTAGGTAAGTTTAACATTTATGTTATTGAATTTGTGTAATTCAAATTATTTAGTTTTTGGAGAGCAATCTATCACAAAGTTGTCAGGGTGTTTTCTCTTACCCACTTTAGGTTCTGAGTTTTGACCATTGACATATTTTAAAAATTAAATATACATTAAGAAGTTTACGCTGAGTGTACTCTAAGAAACCACTTATAGTCATCCTTGAGTATTCTTCCAGTGTTTCTCTGTGCAAATACAAATATATAGCCTTATTATCCTCCCCTTTTTTATGTGAAATTCCAGCAATAAGAAATGGTATCCTCCCCTTTTCTTATACAAAAGGTAACATACTATTATGTAGCACACTATACTCCAAAATAGCCATATATCCTAGAAATTTTTCCATAGTTGTTGTCATGTACTCATTTTGTACATGCCTAGGCTTAACTGTAGGATAAATTCTTAAAAGTACTACTGCTAATGCATGTTTGCAATACTGTAAAGTATGCCTTCCAGAGGGAGTGGTTATTACTATTTTTCACCCTTTCCAGCAAAAGATTAAAGTGCCTGTTTCCCTTTTTTTTTTTCTTTTCTTTTTTTTTTTTTTTTTTTTTGAGACAGAGTCTCGCTTTGTTGCCCAGGCTAGAGTGAGTGCTGTGGTGTCAGCCTAGCTCACAGCAACCTCAAACTCCTGGGCTCAAGCGATCCTCCTGCCTCAGCCTCCCGAGTAGCTGGGACTACAGGCATGCGCCACCATGCCCAGCTAATTTTTTGTATATATTTTTAGTTGGCCAATTAATTTCTTTCCATTTATAGTAGAGACGGGGTCTTGCTCTTGCGCAGGCTGGTTTTGAACTCCTGACCTCGAGCAATCCGCCCACCTCGGCCTCCCAGAGTGCTAGGATTACAGGCGTGAGCCACCATGCCCGGCCTATTTGCATTTCTATTACCAACAATGGAGTTAAGAACCTTGCACATTTTTTGTGAGTGATTATATTCTATTTTCCTATTGGATTATTAAACAGTTGAATTTTATTCAGTGTTTTATGGCTTCTGGATATTGATTCATATTAATAGTAAGTCTTCTGCATTCCAAATATATAAAGGGAATAAACCCTTGTTTTATATTTTAGTCTTTGATTTACTTATAATTTATCTTGGGATTTTATTGTGAAGTACAGATCCAGTTTTAGCTTTTCAGTTTTTTTCAGAAGGCCATAATATCTTTATTTCACTGATTTGGGAAGACTTTACCATGCACTGGCTTCTTTTCATTATTCTATTGATGCACCAACATTACACTTGTAGATATATAGAAGCATAAAAGTATGTTTTAATATCTAGAAGGGCTGGTCTCCACCTTACTTGTTTTATTTTCTATATGAACATTAAACAGTTTTCTCTAACAGAAAAAAATTAGAAAAAAGCCTTTGTTTTGGAATCTCATTAAGTTTATATGTTAATTTAGGGACAAATGACATATTTATGATGAATTTTGCTGTCAATGAACTTAGCTTATCTTTTTGTTTAAGGCCACCCTTGTGCCTTTCAGACTTTTTTTTTTTTGAGACAGAGTCTTCACTCTGTTGACCGGGCTAGAGTACCATGGCGTCAGCCTATCTCACAGCAACCTCAAACTCCTGGACTCAAGTGATCCTCCTGCCTCAGCCTCCCAGGTAGCTAGGACTACAGGCATGCACCACCATGCCTGGCTACTTTTTTCTATATATTTTTTTCTTAGTTGGCCAATTAATTTGTTTCTATTTTTAGTAGAGACGGGGTCTTACTCTTGCTTAGGCTGGTCTCGAACTCCTGACCTCAAGCGATCTGCCCGACTTGGCCTCCCAGAGTGCTAGGAGTATAGACGAGAGCCACCGAGCCCGGCCCTTGAGACTAAATTTTTACCATAATTCTTTAAAAGCTACTACTTTGTCCTTTTGTTGATTTTTGTTTGTTTTGATCTTATCTCTGTTTTTCACTCTTTTTTTTTTTTTGAGACAGAGTTTCGAACTCCTGGCCTGTGTTTTCGCTCTTGATGCTACTAATTTTATTGAAAATATCCAGGTTATAGATAACATCTGCTAATACATGAAATGTTGCCTGTTATCAGTGTATTTGACTTTTGTTTGTTTTCATTTCTCTGTAGTTTCGGGAATATGATTTATAAGGAGAAGCGAGAGTCTGTTAGTAAAGAAGATCTGGCAAGAGCTACTTTAGTTACTATCACCAATAACATTGGTTCTGTGGCACGAATGTGTGCTGTTAATGAGGTAAAAAAATTTAATTGTGTGAAAATGTGAATTGGAGTTTTATGTATATCTAGCAGGACTTCTTCATTTTCCTTAAGGAGGCCTCTAAGACTGAGATCTATTCCAAAAGCAGCAGATAATTCAAATTGAAATAGGATAGGACAGAAGATATTTACAATTTAAATTTATACAGAAACTTTTTCAGAAATACATAACCTAAATTTCTTGAGGATGTAAAAGAAAGTTCTTTCTAAGCATAAAACATTTTGAGGCAACTAATTAATAATGAAAGCTTTTTTTTTACTGTGAATATTGTGTTTAGTGAAATACTTGGGAGTTTTCTTACTGCCCTCGGCTTCTTTACAGTGCTGCCTTGTTGCATATGGATCAAGCAGCATTGTACAGGGCTATGAAGGCATTGAGACTTGTTCTTCATGTGAAATTTGAGTGATGTGTACTGCTTGCTCTAAGAAAAGTGTGAAAAGCAATACTGCACTGCTAGATTGGCCACATAGTTGGGATATAATTCCACCATCATATACTAGAGATATTTGCCCATTTAATTTTTATAAAAATCAAATCTTTAAATGGATTGGGAAGTTTGCTTTTTTGAGACAGAGTCTTGCTTTGTTTCCCAGACTAGAGTGAGTGCCTTGGCATCAGCCTGGCTCACAGCAACCTCAAACTCCTGGGCTAAAGCGATCCTTCTGCCTCAGCCTCCCGAGTAACTGGGACTACAGGCATGCGCCACCATGCCCGGCTAAGTTTTTCTATATATATTAGTTGGCCAATTAATTTCTTTCTATTTATAGTAGGGGGGGGGTCTCGAACTCCTGACCTCGAGCAATCACCCACTTTGGCCTCCCAGAGTGTTAGGATTACAGGCGTGAGCCACTGCGCACAGCTGGGAAGTTTGCTTTTTGAAGAAATCCTTCATTTGTTTATTCACTCATTTCCTCATTGTGCAAATATTTATAGAGTGCCATGTGCCAGGCATTGTTCTAGGCACTTGGGATATAAAGAAAACAAAGATCCCTGACAAGTAAATTGTTTAGTATGTATTAGGTGGTAAGTACTGTATTTTTTTTGTGTGTGTGAGACAGAGTCTCACTCTGTTGCCCAGGCTAGACTGAGTGCCGTGGTGTCAGCCTAGCTCACAGCAACCTCAAACTCCTGGGCTCAAGCGATCCTACTGCCTCAGCCTCCTGAGTAGCTGGGACTACAGGCATGCACCACCATGCCCGGCTAGTTTTTCCTATATATATTAGTTGGCCAATTAATTTCTTTCTATTTATAGTAGAGACGGGGTCTCGCTCTTGCTCAGGCTGGTTTTGAACTCCTGACCTCGAGCAATCTGCCCCCCTCAGCCTCCCAGAGTGCTAAGATTATGAGCGTGAGCCACCACCACACCCGGCCTATCTCTTAACTTTTTAAATAATTTAACCTTGGTGTAATAAATTGGTTGATGAAACCACTAGTAGGCCTTTTTTAACCTAGATTTTGGGAATATTTTTCTTTGGGGGCTTATAAGAATAGATTTCCTGGAGATGCAAACATTAGTTCCCTCAAATAAAATTTCCTTGTCATAGAGGCACCTAAGAAACCCAATTAGTGCATGTGGAATCTTAGCAGAGAGAGAATGACTTGATGGATCAGTCTTGGAACAGCGATTGCTATGATCCAAGAGGTTGAATATACATGCTAGTACCTCATTCAGTGTTACTTTCCAAAAAAGAGTCCACAGTTGCTTGTCATCGTTGAACATGCATTGCAATATATGAGTATGTTTACTGCTTATTTTACCCTAAACATATTTTAAAATACTTTTCCTTGGTTTGATTCCTTTAATCTCATCAGTAATGTGTCTCCAAATTACTTTGTTAGATGGATTATTTATTGGTTGTTTTCTAAAACAATCTCACCTATAATAATTTACTAGGGTCATTGTAATAGACTATTTTTTGGAGGAGTTTTGGGTTCACAGTAAAATTGAGTGGAAAGTACAGAGAGTTTCCATATTACACAAATATACACACCCACAGCCCTCCCCTGTGGAATGTCAGCATTCCAAAACAGAGTGGTTTCTATGTTACAGTCCATGAACCTACCTTGACACAACATTGTCACCTTTGACAAATGTGTAATGATGTGTCCAGAACTAATTTTTATTTTTTTTTTGAGACAGAGTCTCGCTTTGTTGCCCAGACGAGAGTGAGTACTGTGGCGTCAGCCTAGCTCACAGCAACCTCAAACTCCTGGGCTCAAGCGATCCTGCTGCCTCAGCCTCCCAAGTAGGCATGCGCCACCACACCCGGCTAATTTTTTCTGTATATGTTAGTTGGCCAATTAATGTCTTTTTATTTATAGTAGAGACGGGGTCTCAGTCTTGCTCAGGCTGGTTTCAAACTCCTGACCTTGAGCAGTCTGCCAGCCTCTGCCTTCCAGAGTGTTAGGATTACAGGCGTGAGCCACCACGCCCGGCCCAGAACTAATTTTTAAATATTCAGGATAATGAAGCTATGTGCCAGGAATGTAGTAGGCACTGATAAAAGGTAGTTGTTTACATTTTAAAATAAAGATTTTATGAACCTTTAGTGTTGTAAAATCTGTTTAATAATTCTTTTTACAAGTTACTTCTTTCTTTTCTTTTAGAAAATAAACAGAGTTGTCTTTGTGGGAAACTTTTTACGTGTTAATACTCTCTCAATGAAACTTCTGGCATATGCACTGGATTATTGGTCAAAAGGTCAACTGAAAGCATTGTTTCTAGAACATGAGGTATGATAGAAAAATAATGTTTCATTGATTTTAATAGCATGCTCTTATTTGCAAATTTTATATTGCTCTTTGTATTTATAATTATAAAACTACCAATTATTTACTTAAGTAGAATATTGATTTCTTCATTTCACTTTCAGTTGGGGGTAGAGAATTGCTATAACCTGGTAGGCACCACATTAAGATTAGGATTTTACAGTTCTTCTGACCAATACATGAGATCTTGAGCTCCTCAGATACTTGGGGTGCTTGCGTACTTACTGGATATATTGTTTTGTTTTGTTAAATTGTTTCTTTGGGTTTTTCAGCCTGACACTGCAAACATTAAATGTGAACAATACAAAAATATATAATTTAGCAGTGAAAATTCTCCTTAATACTACTACCACAGTCCCATCCCCACCTCCAAAAAGTAGCCTCTGTTGGCATTTAGAATTTATTCTTTAAGATTTTTTCCTGTTTATTTACTACATCAAGTTAAATTTCTATCTGAGTAATTATTGGTCGACATAATGTTTTAGATTAAGTATATTTAACTTGAATTTTGTTTATAAATGGAGTCAAATAGTTATATAATTACAAATTAATAATACATTCAAAATAAATTTGTTCTACTCTTAAAAGCTTCATGTGTCATTGTCACTGCTCTCACTGTGCAGATCAGAATGGTGTGAACTTGTGAAGCTCCACAAGGGCAGCATGCAGTGAGAGCATTAGGCAGAGCCACAAGAAGTTAGTTTATTGAGTAAAGGCTGGAAGGTGTAGAATTGCTCTTACAGTCCTGGTAGCTTTAGTGTCTAAAAGTAACACTTTAAAAATACATATTTCGAAGCTATGTGTATATGTAAAGAGAATGAAATACAATTTTAGAAAATGTTTTATAATATCAAGGAAATTGGTAGATTTCTAAATATTATTGTGCAAATAGATTATACATAAACGTATTCTTATGTGGTTAATATTGTATGCTAATTTAAAAGCTACACTATGTTAACAGTACTTTAAAATTACACAGGGATACTTTGGAGCCGTTGGTGCACTTCTTGGACTGCCAAATTTCAGCTAAAGCATCAGGTCTCTCTCTGCTAATAAATGTCATCCAAGGTGAACTGAAACCAGAGGCGTTATCACTGCATTGTTTGTCACTGGGAACCAAAGGATAAAAGAGTACCATAAGCTGCTGAATGTTGCCATAGTAAGAGAAAACTCAGTAATGTGAAGTATTTCTATTTGAAATGCTTTGCCTTTTGTATATAACCAGTGTTAAATTCTTAAATGCAATACAGCCTCTGATTACTGAGCTTCCTCTCCAAAAAGATTTTCTTTTTATTTTACGTAGCCATTGTAGTACTGTATACTCAAACAAAAATCTCTCAGAAATGTTTAGCTTATCAAAATAATTGATTCTGAATATTTGTCATGTCTTTTTGTGTGTTTTGATTACTAATGAGCGGATAGTATCATACCCTGCATCAAAAATTATTGAAATGGCAATCAAAGATGATTATTTTTATGTGATTTTAGAATTGTTAAGGCAATTATTAATTATTGTAGTTTCTTTAAACATACCCCCTGCCAAAAAGCATGTTTATGTGATTTTTCCCCAGATGTGTACCTTTTCTCAAATGCCATAATTTAATTGAAATACTATTGTTAACTTTTAGCCTGAATTTTAAAATGAATTCTGGAAAATGCACATATTTAGTGAAATTGCACTTTCTGTGTTTGATGAGTTAATACATGTTTAAAATGTTTAGTAGTATATAAAATTGGCGGTATAATTACTTAATCCAGGAGGTCTGTTCTGATGGAATATGCTTTGAGTGCACTGATGAGTGTTCTGGGTTCTCTATAGCACATTTATCTCCAGCCCAAACGTACTTGTTCGTTTCTTTTTATTAGATCTGAACCATTAAAACTACACATTTTATTCTATTATGAACAACAGCAACAAAGTCACATTTATTTTAAATGAATGTTATAGAAATCTAAAATATGAATTTGAAAATTTTGTGAGAGTCTGAGGCAATATTGCAGAATTATAAAAGGATCAGTGTTTCATACATTCTGATAATAAAAGCATTATAGTTCCAAAATTTGTAAATCCTTTTGCCTGGGAATTTATTCTCTATTTTGAATTCATATTTTATAATGTTAAAAAAGTTTTTCAGGTTTTTATGTTGGCAGTAACACTGGAAGTCCAACAGTTCAATGAAGTTGTTAAAGTCTGTTGCTTTTGGGTTAGTAAGTAGAAAGACTTGAGGAGGACGATGAGAAATTCATCTCTATAAATTACCAATAAGTCTGGATATACTTTGAAGAGCTTAAAATTGTTTATATTACACAAAGGAAATATTATGTGTTTTACAAACCATAATTTTGCTCAATAGCAGTTTTCAGTTAGACTATCAAGAGTTGCTTGAAAAAGGCATTATTCCATGTAGTTTTCACTTTTTGTGCTGAAGTGTTTATAGTTTTCTTTACATATAAAGACATGAACATATAAGTAATGAGTATTTAGGGGGAAAGCATGTAATGCTAATTTTTTAGACTATTTGGAACTGTGAATTCAAGTCAGTTCAGTTTGTTTTTAAAGTTTCTGATTTGGGCATTTGTATAGATAGGAGTCTTACTGAATGATAGTAATTATAAGTTTTATACCTGTAGCAAACTGTACGTCAGCAGCTATGGGTTTAGGGCAGTCTTTCTTTAAGAAAAAATAGAATGATCAAAAGTCTCTTTTAATTTGATCACTGTACTTTGCTTAATATGGAAATATGATTCATATATTTTGTCCTTTAAAAGTCAGATTGCCTACTAAAATGCATGTAAAGTGAAGAACTATCTTGCCACTGTTGTTCTGAGCTTTTCCCATTCGTAATCTAGAATTTCTGGAGTAATAAGAACACAGAATTGTGATATGAAGGTTGTAATGCCTCAGAACTCTATGTTCTTGAACAGTGCTGTCTAATAGAAATGTGAACCACATGTAATTTTACACTTTTTATTAAGCACATTAAAAAGTAACAGCAAACAGGTGAAATTCATCTTAATTATATATTTTTATTTAACCCAATATATCCAGTATGTTATTTCAACTTGCAATCAGTACAAAAGCTTATTTAGAAGGTGTTTTACCCTATTCCCCTCTTTGATCCTCAGTCTTGAAAACCAGCATATATTTTATACTTACAGTACATCACAATTTGAACTAATCACGTTTCAAATGCTCCATAGCCACATATGGGTACTGGCTGCTGTACTAAACAGCACAGTTCTAGAACTACCTCTTTAAAATGAATACTATCATGTGTCCATGAAAACTTTCTGAACATGGCCTCTTTAAAGAACATTTCAGAGGAAAAAATATAGGAACCTTAATTTTTTTGAATACAGAGAGGGATAAGAAAGTTTATTTGGGCTAGTTTATTTTATACAGATAGGCCGTATTTCTGACCATTCCAAAAATATAGTGGCATCTTACCATCTCATTATAGTGTATATCATTTTTCCAGTAATACTGATATTAATAAAATTGCCCAAGACATATATCCTGACAGTTCTCAACAGTCTCCAAAATACATACTTCCTTTGCTGAAGGAAATTATTTCATTGACTTAATTTCTAAAATTGTGATTTCAACTTTGAACAGCCAATTTTTTAAAAAATATACCGGCCAATTTTAAGCTAAAGGATTAAAAAGAGACTCTTTCATTGTTCTGTACGCACAAAAGAATCTTTATAATTTCTGGGCTTGGTTTTCGTTCTTATAACTCTGATAAGTTTTTCAAATGCAAAGAGCAGTGTCGATTTGCCATGGGGCTTGGTAAAGAACACAAGCTCTAGAACATACCACCACCACTCCCCTACAAAAAGATTGCCTTTTAACTAGAGACTTGTAGATTTAATGGCTTTCTGTTCCATACCCAAACACTTCTCCCCAAAGACTAAGTATTAGTAGTAGACTAGCCGTATGATTTAACATGGCAATTCTTTGCTCAACTACTCTAAATAGGTGGGAAATTAGGTAGATTCTTGGGCTTAAGTCAGTTGCATTGCTAATAATATACATGATAATTGAAAGGCCTTCAAAGAGGTTTGGATTATTTGCCAAATATTAGACTCTAAAAATTCTTGAAGGTTTTTTTTTTTTTTTTTGCCTTTGATTGTGTAAGTACCAGTTCTTATGTTACGTAGAGAGACTGTATCTGTAAACAGAATTATGCAGCTCAAAGTGAAAAGGTTTTCCTCTTTTTTCCAGTGGTTCTTGCCTTCAAAGAGTAGTCCATTACATCTTGCCTTGATTTTTAAGGTTGCATTCTAGGGTGGAAAGCTTAACCAGACAATAGTTTTCAAATGTTCTTTATAACCACTCTGTTTATTATAAGCAAAATTTTTTCATAGTTTGTTTAGCATCTTTTTTCTTTCTGTTGAGCACTTTATGCTTTTTAGTCTATTGCATTTAAGAATGTAGTTTAGAAATTCTCCCGTAAAGCCATGTAAAAACTGATAGAGGATAATTAAAATGGGTGGACATTATTTTGCATTTAACTTACTTTTGTGTGGTGTGTGTAAACAAAAAATTAGAAATATATTGCCTTTTTGTAATAATGACCTCAGTTTTAAAGTGATTTGCCATGAAATATCAATGATGTCCTATTTTGAAATTATGTTTATTCTAGTGTTATAATACTGAAGGATTTCAGCCAACTTTGTTTCTAATCTGTGATGTGCTTTATATTATTGTCTGGTTTCACTATTTAAGAGAATAGTTGTCTCATATTTTCTACTGAGTGTAGCAATAATCAGTGAAGACCCAAAAAAAGTGAGTAATGTTTTTCTTGTTTAAAGTATTTGAATACCCCATTCAAAATAATGGGGTATGAAGTGAATCATCCTGGCTTTTCTGCCATACCTAAATTCTGAATAGTTCCACTTCAAAATGGAAATGTTTAATTATTTCCTTTAAAGCAATCCCTATTTGCAGTATCCTGTATATTCAGTGGACAGAATGTCATAATCTGGTTGTATTGGAAATAGTGCTAGTCACTGGTCTTTATTTGAGGGAATTGGTTTGTTACAACAGGAAATGAGTCATTTATCAGAATCCTGAGAAAGACAGATGTTTTATTCGTGGCAGTATTTGGGATGACTAAAATAATTTTTTCAGATATTTAGTGTCATGTTTTAGAATTAACTATTAGTGCTTATATAATATTTTTATAATTATTACATAATTTTTATTGGTAAATATTAATAGGTACTAGATTTTGGATTCTCACCAAACCAGTAGAATGGTATTAGTTATTTTCTCATATTATGTTACTGCCTGTGAGATGCATACATATGTATTAAAGGGTATATGTATGTGTGTTCTTTAATCTGTAAAGGTACCTGGGATTTTTACTGTGTTGATTTCAAAATTGTATGGGCATTATAACTTTATCATTGTACAAAAAGAAAACATCCCACTAAATTCATAGATGTTGGTGGAATACAGATGTTTCTTGACTTACAATGGGGTTATGTCCCAGTAAACCCATTGTTAATTTGAAAATATTGTAAGTCGAAAATGCACTTAATACACCTAACCTATCAAACATCATAGCTAACTCCAGCCTACATTAAACATGCTCAGAACACTTACATTAGCCTGCAGTTAGGCAGAATCATCTAACACAATGCCTAATTTGTATTAAAGGTGTTCATCTCATGTAAGAGGTATTATACCATGTATCATTAGTCTGGGTAGTATCAGAATACAAAATTCAAAGTATGGTTGCTAGTGAATGTGTAGCACTTCTGCTGCATGGCAAAGTTGAAAAAGTCAAACCATTATAAGTCAGGAACCATCTGTATTAGATATATTTGGTATTTTTAGTGGCCTTTTTCTTTAAGCTCACTCTTATCATTGTTGAGTGGTTATAGATGTGGGATGAACCTCTCCTGGAATCATTTCTTTTGTCCAACACAAAATTTATAAAACAAAAGTTTAATACTCCCAGCTACTTGGGAGTCTGAAGTAGAAGGATCACTTGAGCCCAGGACTTCAAGTTCAGCCTGGGAAATAAAGTAAGATGCCATCTCTAAAAAAAAAAATAATAAACTTCAGTTAACTGCAAGTAAGTTGAAATATCATGCATTACACTCATGTCCACATGAGATATGTTTAAGACCTAAAATGCTTTTTTCCTTGTAATTGGAATGATCACATGGACATGTGTCTGGGATTCCTACATTACTATTTAAAATAAATAGCAGTGAGCTAATACTGGAATTTCAGGTACTACAGTTGGTGTTGAATGATGTGTTTGGGGGGGAGTTGTTTTTTTTGTTGTTGTTGTTTTAAGAAAATCTAAAAATCTATTTATGTTTTAGCTCCAGTAGTCAAAAGGTCGGGTTATTTGTCTTTTAGATTTTCAGTCTTTGGCTGCAACTGCCACTAATTTTGTGTTTAAAAGAACTAATGAGGAATGTATTTTTCAAAGGAATTGAATGAGGTTAAAAATCAAGATTTTGAATTGTGTAAATGTGCCGCTAATTCTTTTTTCTCCAAGTTTCTACACAAAGCATTGATAAATATGCAACTAATTCAACTCGAGGATATTACTAAATTCTTTTGTTATTTCTAAACATCTTTCATACCTTGCAGTGCTTATTGTTCCAATAGCTTTCCAAAAAGACATTTCAGTTTTGATATAATTTTTAAAATATACATAAGTAATGTAAAACAATTTGAGTTTATTTTAGCTTTATGTTGTATGTCTGAATTTCATCTGCATATCTGTCACAGATATGAAGCTATTTTGAAATTTGCCACTTTTCCCTGAGTGGCCCCTTGTTGTTTAATCTGCAACGTTTGGAAAGAAAACTTTATAGAACTAACACTGATATCCTGGTCTCCTTGTCCCAGATATAATTAATGTCATTAGGATGTAAGTGATGCTAAGGTGGTTTTATTATTTTTTTAATGCATTTTGTGCTTTTATTTGAACTACAGTCAAACTCTAACATAACTGAAGTTGAATGGCATTTGTCTTAATTCTGCCCAGTTATTGACCAAATCATACCTAGAAGATGTTTTTATGTCCCAATCTAGAGAATCCTCTAACTTGGGGGTTAATTTTACTTACACATACCATTTCAGTTTAAGTTGCCTTATTCTGTTGAATTATTCTTGTCAAATCTAAGTTTTATCATGTCTGCATTCTAACACTGAATCTGTGATGTAAAAATGTATGATGTTCTACAGATTTTATTCATAATAAACTAAGTTATATAAGCCTCTTGTAACCTGTAAAACATTTCTTGTAAATTGCCTAATTTATTTTTCATTTATGTACAGTTTCTTATGTAAATTTTAATATTTGTCTCAACCTGTTCTGTAAACATTCCCATATTTTCCTTAATGCTTATTTGCATGACAGAAACTCGGGTTTGCTTGTTTGTATTGTGTGGCCATTAAGCCAACTTCAGTATCTCTGCTCTCTTTTCTGTAGTTTAACTTTTCTAATTTTGTTCATATTCTAAATAAATGTTAGAATCATGCTTTTCATTTTCTACTCTTTAAATAAATTCTCCAAGTTGTTTACTGTGTGTATCTTTTTATTTCTTTATTTTCTATATTGTATGCCCACATTTCCACTCTGAATAAATGTAAGGTTCTGGTTTTAACTGAAATTAACTACAGTAGAATGTGAACTCCATGAGAGCAAGGACTTTGTGATTACAGTCTTGCTCACCTCTGTATCCCCGTAGCTGACACAGCCAAGGTGAATAAATAAATTCTTGTTGAATGAATTAATTGTAGAGAAAGTGTTCTCTATCTAGGTCTCCCTGCATAAAGGTAGGTGAAATTATAGTTTTTCCCCCCACCTTACCCTACCTAACATTAGAAAGTGTAAGTTTTAGTCTGAGACCTTCAGACTTTCATGAAATGTAAGACTTACCTTTTAAAAAAGCTTTGATCTTTCTTATAGGGATGAAGTTGTAAATTTGGCCACTGTTTTCAAATTATTTGCCTTGATTTAGACATACAGGAATGGTTCGAAACACGAACATGATTACCATGTTGACATGAAGTATATGTTCTTCCTGTTTAAAACGAATCCAAGAAGCAGGAACTAGGATGAAAAAAAATGTGAAATCTTGACTAAGGGAGAAACTTGTGGAAATACTAGATCTGGGGTGTAGATTAGTTCTCCAAACACGGAAGTACTGCTATTGCAAGCACTTGGAAGTAAACTACTGAAGAGCAGAAGTTCAAGAATACATGTTTAAGGGATGGGCGTGGTGGCTCACGCCTGTAATCATAGCACTCTGGGAGGCTAAGGAGAGAGGATCGCTCGAGATCAGGAGTTCAAAACCAGCCTGAGCAAGAGTGAGACCCCATCTCTACTAAAAATAGAAAGAAATTAATTGGCCAACTACAAATATATAGAAAAAATTAGCCAGACATAGTGGCACATGCCTGTAGTCCCAGCTGCTCGGGAGGCTGAGGCAGAATTGCTTGAGCCCAGGAGTTGTGCTGTGAGCAAGGCTGACAGCCACGGCACTTTAGCCCAGGCAAGAGAGTGAGACTGTGTCTCCAAAAAAAAGTGTTTGAGTGTAAATCCTTCATTCAAAATTAACATTCCAAGTGTGGGGGTGGGGGTTGAGTTGGATTCTATACATAACACAAGATGTCTTATCTATTGACATAATCCTGAAGTATAGTGTGTACTGAGCAAACATAGTGAATGTTTCTGCATCTAAAATCCATGCTAAAAACTGTATAAATTCCTATTTTAAGATATTCCCGTGCTTCTTGTGTTGGGGGTGGTTTAAGCTTTGGGGTTTTTCCCTAAAATAAATCTGAGAAGCCTGACTTATCCCTGGGACTTTACATCCTTTCCATAAAATTGGTAATTTTTAATGTTACTTCTACCAGAGGTTAACAGTAGACCCCAAAAGTGTAGTTGACTGGATGTGTGGGTAAGTAGGTGCTCATCCCCAGCCTGGGCTTTAAAGGTAACCTTTACAGTTTCTGGAAACAGTAACAAGATTGCCAAAACCAGGAAGATGTTCTTTTGTAGTGAGGAGCCCATTTTGTTCTTTCTCTAGCAAGAGTTTGGAGTCCAGTTACTTCAATTTAAATGAAATTGAAAGAATTAAAAGCAGCTGACCTTATATGTACAAGTTCCCCATCTGTGGACTCAATCAACTGTGGATGGAAAATACCTACAAAATTTTTAAAATGACACAAAAAACAATACAAATTTTAAAACTTTACATTGTATTAGGTATTGTAAGTAATCTAGAGACGATTTGAAGTATATGGGAGGAATGGGTTGCTTAAGTCATGTGCAATCACACTGTTTCACGTAATGGACTTGAGCATCTATGGATTTGGGTAACCTTGGGCAATGCTGAAACCAACCCTCTATGGCTGCAGTCCCCAACACCCTGGCCAGGAGCAGTACCAGTCCGTGGCCTGTTAGGAACCAGGCTGCACGGCAGAAGGTGAGCAACAGGCCCGCAAGTACCATTAGATTCTCATAGGAGTGCGAACCCTACTCTAAACTGCATGGGAGCAATCCAGGTTGCCTGCTCCTTGTGAGACTCTAGTGCCTGAAGATCTGAGGTGGAGCTGTCGGTGATGCTAGTGCTGGGGAGCAGCTGCAAACAGATTGTCATCAGCAGAGAGGTTTGCTCAGTAAATGTGCTTGAATCATCCCAACACCATCTGCCCTGGTCTGTGGAAAAATTGTCATATGAAACCAATCCCTGGTGCCAAAAAGGTTGGGGACTGCTGCTCTACGGAAACTGAGGGTCAACCGTACGTGTTATGGGGGGCAGGTGTCATCATATTTTAACAGTTTAAATAAAATGATTTTTATACCTTGTGTTTTCAGTTTTTCTAAAACAACGTTTTAGGTTTTCAGTACAATTGTTTAATACTTCAAAAAATAGTTTCAGTGAATTTGTAACTACTGATTTTAATTTTGGCTTTGGACCTGTTCATAATCAGCTTCATTGAAGTATGGCTTAAATACAATAATATTTTAATTATACATTTAAATAAGATTGATAAATCTATACTCCCATATAACTACCACTCACAGATGGTTCCATCATTCCAAAAGGTTCCCTTGACCTCCCTCCTAGTCAGTCTCCTCCCATCCCCAGGCAACTGATGATTTGTTCTCTGTCACTACATTAATTTTTGTGTCTTCTAAAGTTTCTATGTAAATGGGCCAATACAGCATGTACCCCCAATCTCCCTAGCCCTCCCAGTTCTAGGCTTTCTAGAGCTACTCTTTCTGTTCCTATAGATTTGCTATAGTACGTACTCGTGCCTGCTTTCTCTCAGCATAATGTTTTTGAGGTTAATCCATGTTGTATGTATCAGTAGCATTGTTTTTGCTGCTGAGTAATCTTCCATTGGAAGGCTATACCACAATTTATGCATTCACTTGTACGTTTAAATACAAATCTTTGGGTAGACATGGTCTTTTCTTTGGGATAAACAGTGGAACTGCTGGATTGGATGGTACTAACGATATAACTTTAAGGAACTGGAAAACTGTTTTCAGAGGTTTAATTTTACATTCTCACCAGCAACGGTTGAATTTTAGCCATTCATGTATGTAGTGGTATCCATATGTGGTTTCAATTTGCATTTCCTTGATTATTGATAACATGGAGCATCTTTTCACATACTTAGTGGGTTTTCATATATATCTGTCCCGGCCCGCGGGACCTTCTGTTACTCGCAGGGGCGAGGGGGACCGTGCCTGAAAGAGATGGGCGAGAGAAAGGAGCGAGACCAAGCAAATGGTTGTCAAGGTCTACTTTACTTGGATTTTTAGTAGGTTTTATATACAGAAAACAAGGAAGTAGAAACAGAAAAATACAGTGGGGGGATGATGAGGCTTGGGTGTGGGCTAATCAGCCCTAATCAGCATCTCAATGGCACCGAAAGCTATTTGTGAAGGATCACTCAACCCCAACCTGGCAGGGGGTCGGGAACAATTGCAGGTAGCATGCCCTGGAGCAAGCACGTCATGGAATGCATTCTTTTCAGAACTATAGCTGGAGGGCTGGGTGCTATTTTCATCTTAGGCTATTTTCCGTGCGTAGGACAAGTCCAGACAAGTCAGGACAAGTTGTTGGAATGTGGAGGGTCTTAGTCTCCAACATATATCTTTTGTAAAGACTTCAAATCTTTTGCCTTTTCTTTTGGAGATAGGATCTCACTCTGTCACCCAAGCTGGAATGCGGTGGCACAATCATAGCTCAGTGCAGCCTTGAACTCTTGGGCTCAAGGGATCCTCCTGCTTCAGCCTTCCAAGTAGCTGAGACTACAGGCATATGCCACCATGCCCAGGTAATTTTTTTTTTTAAGAGACAGGGTCTTGCTATGTTGTCCAGGCTGGTCCTGGCCTCAAGCAATCCTCCTCCCTCAGCCTCCCAAAGCACTGGAATTGCAGACATAAGCCACCTGAGCGTGGCTCTTGTGCCCATTTTTAATTGAATTGTTACTGAGTTGTAAGAATTCTTCATATATTCTAGTTAGAAATCCGTTGTTAGATAAATATTTGAATATTTTCTCCAAGTTTGTGGCTTATCTTTTTATTTTCTTAATGTTATTTTGAGGAACAGAGCTTTAAATTATTTTGTTCTAGTCCAGTTTCTCATATATTTCTTTATGGTTTATACTTTTTGTGTCCTAAGAAATCTTTGCCTACTCAAGATCATGAGTACTTTCTCCTGTTTTATTCTAGGTGGTTTGTAGTGTTAATCTTCCCTATGAGTCAAAGGGCCCAGAAGAACTACTTGGAGGAGTTAGACTTTCATGTGTGGAGAGACAAAGGGCAACTGGGCCTCCATCCTGGGCCCCACACTTTAGAAGACCGCAGTATGGCCTTACTGTCTGCTCATTGCCACATGGGACAAAAAATCCATAGGGATCAAGTGCCATGCCCCCCCACCCCACCCCCAGGAGCCCATGTCCCCCACCTTTGGGATCATGCATCGGGCACGAGGAACCCTGCCTGTACAGCCCAGACCTGCTTCCAGGCCTCCCCACGCCAGTCCTCCAGAGACGAGACCTCGCTCCCAGTTGGTAACTCTAGCCCCAGGAGGTGTCTTACAGAAGGCTGTCTGAAGGGCAGGGGGACAGGTCTTGGATTTGAGGGCTGGGTGTGTACAGATGGGCGTGAGGCCTTCCAGGGTATGGGACAGAACCAGGGGTGGGGAGAGAAAGGGGCAGGCCCCGAGCCAGGGGTACTAAGACAGTCTCTTGCTCCAGGCCATACACGTGTTAGGGGCAGCTCAGGAACCAGTGTTGATTTTACAGTCATTCATCAAACGGAATGTTAATGTTTCAGCACTTTCTGGAATGTTTGTCCTAGTGATTAATTGAAAAATCATGCTTTAGAAGATCAAATACTGGCCAGCAGTGGTGGCTCACGCCTGTAATCCTAGCACTCTAAGAAGCAGAGGCGGGCGGATTGCTTGAGCTCAGGAGTTTGAGACCAGCCTGAGCAAGAGTGAGACCCCATCTCTACTAAAATAGAAAGAAATTATCTGGACAACTAAAATATAGGAAAAAACTTAGCCGGACATGGTGGCACATGCCTGTAGTCCCAGCTACTTGGGAGGCTGAGGCAGCAGGATCCCTTGAGCCCAGGAGTTTGAGGTTGGTCTGAGCTAGGCTGATGCCACGGCACTCTAGCAAGGGCAACAGATTGAGACTCTGTCTCAAGTAAATAAATAAAGATCAAATACATGCTTAGCTTTCTGCCAAGGACATAGGTAAGTGCTTGATAAATATTAGTGTAGCAATACCCAAAGGTAGTACTCACTAGCACTCAGATGGGCTTGATCATCTTGCTTATAGTGTCAGGTAGGGATAAGGAGGAAGGGAGAGGAACAGATGCTTTGTGGATGATGGGGACTGACGAACCAAAAAGACGCAGAGAAACCGCAAACTGGGGGCATGGCCAGGGCCACAACGGGAACAAACTGGTCCATGGGCAGTGGAAGATTTTAATTGTCCTCAGCTGACCCGGGGTTCATTGCAGATGTACCCCCACCCCACCATGGGCAATCAAGGGGAATTCTGGGAATTCCGAATGTGCATAAAGAATTTAGTTATATAAGCCCAACCTGTCAATCACCCAAGGAGGGGGGGGGGGGGGGGGAGGGGGAGGGAAATTCCGCCCATAGGGAGGAGAGCCAGGCAGGCCTGTTATGACACAAATGCAAGTGTGTGCTAAAAACCCAGGGTCGTCGCCACTCGTGGAGATAGAGCCGTTCCCTCTCTGGAACGCACTGTGCTTAGTGTTAATACATCTTGGTGCTTGGCCTGCTGGCACCTGTTTGGCCTGCTCATCTCAGGCTCAGTGGTCATTCTTCTCTACTGAGACAAAAGAACCAGGGACATTGGAACCTGACAGGATTGGGAGGGCAAACTGCCAGTTTTATGGAACTTGGTTCTTCCGGCTTAAAACAGCCTCTTTTGGCTGGGAGCGGTGGCTCACGCCTGTAATCCTAGCACTCTGGGAGGCCAAGGCAGGAGGATCGCTCGAGGTCAGGAGTTCGAAACCAGCCTGAGCAAGAGCGAGACCCCCGTCTCTACTATAAATAGAAATGAATTGGCCAACTAATATATATATAGAAAAAATTAGCCGGGCATGGTGGCGCATGCCTGTAGTCCCAGCTACTCGGGAGGCTGAGGCAGGAGGATCGCTTGAGCCCAGGAGTTTGAGGTTGCTGTGAGCTAGGCTGACGCCACGGCATTTAGTCTAGCCTGGGCAACAAAGCGAGACTCTGTCTCAAAAAAATAAATAAAAAATAAAACAGCCTCTTTTGGATAAAGGTTCACTCCCTCAGGTCCTTCTGTCCTGCCCCATTCCTGCCCTCCATTGCAGGAGGCTCCCGAGCCTGGGAGCTGGCAGACACCGTGGTGGCTGGTGGGGTGGGGTCTGCTCTTCCCTGCTGGCTCCCACTGACCCCCTTTGACTCGTGGTCTTGCCTGGCCCTTGAGCACCAGGCTCCAGCCTCCCTGCATTGCTGCGGAGGTGGCTGCAGCTGGGCGCTCACTGATGCCCGCGCTGGGTTCTCTCCTGCGCTCTGGTGCAGCTGCCGACTCCCGAGACTCAGACTGGGCAGCAAGCTCCGCCCAGCTCCCAGCGTGGACCAGTCCCTGCGGAAGCCCTGCCAGCTCCCCCACGCTCCAAGGCAACCCTGGCATCTCTGTGAACCCTCACTTCTCAACTACCTTATCATCTTCTTCTGACAGTAAGCGGAAAATAGGGAGCGAGAGCCACACTCAGGTCACTTCCTCTCTGTGCGGGGCTGTCTGCAGGTATTTTCCCATTGCACTTTCCTCAGCCAGTTCTCCCAGTCCAGTGAGACAGGCGTTCCAGCTGGGAGTGCTCATCCAGCCCTAGGGCTGGGAACTGAACTGCGCCCTCCCCCCCAAATTCCTAAGTTGAAGCCCTGACCCCAAATGTGACTGTATTTGGACATAGGCCCGTAAGGAGGCAACTTAAGGTTAAAAGAGGCCATCAAGGCAGGGCTCTGATCCAATAGGACTGGTATCTTTGCAAGAAGAAGAGACCCCAAAGAGCTTGACCCCTCTCGCTGTGTGCACACAGAGGAAAGGCCACGTGAGCACATTATGGGATGGTGACCCATTGATTACAAGCCAGGAAGACAGCCCCCACCGGAAACCAAATTTGCCAGCACCTTGATCTTGGACTTCTAGTTTCCAGAATTGTGAGAAGATGAATGTCTGCTGTGTAAGCCACCTAGTTCTGTGATATTTTGTTATGACAGAGTAAGGCGCCTAGAAATCCAAATGTAAAGCCTCTGGGAACCCAAGCCAAAGGTCCCAGCTCTGAGCAGGCCTGCTGCCCAGAGTCACTGCTGCCTCTAGGTGTCCCAGGAGGCAGCAGTGACAGTCCCTTCCCCTGCCCTCATCCTCCAAAACCAGGTTCCAGTTTGCCTCTTATATTCCCTCCGTCCTTGTACCTGTGTTCCTCTTGGTACTTACTGTGCCATTCCATTGGCTCGGGAACCTGTCCGCTGTGCTGTGCAGAGAAATTCTATAGGAGATTGTTTTCCTACCGTGTCATCACTGATGATCTGCACTTCTAGGAGCCTCAGATATGGACTGTAAATTTCATGGGGGGGGCAGGAAGTAAGGGAGCATCCACGCCAAGGACAGAGGTTGAGTTTCCCCTGCTCTGTCCCCCACCCTGGGGCACAGAGACTCTGTGTGGAGGCCCTTGTGGCTCCAAGGAAGGGCTGGCTCGTGGGCCCCCGCTGCTGCAGAGGCCTTCCCTCCTGGGTGTCCCAACCTCAGGGCTTCCCAACAACTAATCAATTAGCCTAGGATTGGAGAGAGGGCTTTTCAAAGAAACAAAACCGGCATGAACTTTGGTGGAAAGACATAGATTTTGGAGTCAGACTGACAGGGGTTTGATTTCTGACTGTGAGCCTTACCGGGGGACCTTAAGGAAGTCCCGCCATCTCTTCGAACTGCAGTTTTCTCATCTGTTAAATAGGAATAATGATCCTGGCTTTGCAGGGCGATAATGAAGATATCCATTTGTTTATGGAAATGCCGGCTTTGGATTTTTATACACATTTACCTCACTCACTCTCTTCCTGAGTCAGTCTTGCCAACAAATCTGAACAGCGGCTCTCTCCCTGAACTGTGGGGTGGGGTGGAGGAGTGGTGAACGGTGGCTGCCTTATAAAAGTCTGATTTATTCCACATGCATCTACCCCAGACAAACAAACAAATAAAAGTATAGTAACTTATCTTTTTTGTTTTGCAGGAAGTACACCCTCAGAAAAAGCAGACTAACCACAATCTCTGCCCAAACACATCTCCAGGAAGGCAAATTCACCCAGCATCTCAGGGTCTGCAGGAACTGTCTGCAGAGACAGGTACTTCCTGGGAGTAACTTTTCTGGCTGTTCTGCAAATATTTGGTGATGCCACTTTGGTATGTTATGCCCTGCAGTGGGAACCATCTGCTAGATGGACCCATGTCCTGTGCCCCTGCCCTGTTTTGCTATTGTAAACCTAAGAAAGGGGCAGCACTGTGGGGTGGGGAGAAAGAACACAATGAGGCCACAGAGCATGTGTCCCAGTGCATGCCATGGGGGCAGAAAGAGATAAAATCCCACTGGAGCCAGGGAAATAGCAGGGTATTTGGAGCCCTACACACTGGCGGTTTAAGTTCTGCCTCTTTACTGGCTGTATAAATTTGGGCAACTTAGCTAGGCATGGTGCACACCTGTAGTCCCAGCTATTTGGGAAGCTCAAGCAGGAGCATCCATTGAGCCCAGGACTTGGAGGCCACAGTGAGCTATGATGATGCCACTGTACTCCAGCCCAGGCAACAGAGTGAGACCCTGTCTCAAAGAAAAAAAAAAAAAAAACAAAAAAAAACCACTGGGGCAACTTGTTTACCTTCAGAAGCTCTGTTGCTCCACATATAATATGGAAATGGTATCAAAGCCATCTCAGGGCTGGTGTGATGATTACATGGAACAGTGGATGCAAAAGGACTTAGTTGAAGAATAAGTACTAAAAACTTATTGTGGTTAAGACTTTGGCTTTGAAATGAGCCAGGCATGGTGGCTCCTGCTTGCAGTCCCAGTTACTCAGGAGGCTGAGGCAGGATGACTTGAGCCCAGGAGTTTGAGGCTGCAGTGAGCTATGATGACACCCCTGCACTCTACCCAGGGCGACAGAGTGAGATTGTCTCAAAAAAAAAAAAAAAAAAAGGGAAACTGAACCTCCCTCCTCACTACCCCCCACTACAAAGAAAAAAAAATGCAGCAGACAGATGGGGGGAGGGGTTCAACTGTGTTACTGTCCGTCAATACCCAGGGCCCCTTCCTGGAGGCAGGCTTGGTGATGGGACTTGGCCAAGGTGAGCAGAGCGCCCCATCAGTTCCGACGGGAGCACTAAAGGCTCATTAGCAATTCGCCAGCTCTCTTTCCCCTGCCCTAGAGGAGGCGCGTGGGAACATGGGGCGCTGGGGACTCAGGGACCTGCGCGAGTAGAACGGGCACAGCTGTGCTACCTGGTGGGCCCCAACACCAGCTGTTTTAGGGCTCTGCGATTTCGCGGGAGATTGTTACCGCGGCAAAGCCCGGCCTGGCCCCACCAGACTCCTGGGTACTGTTTCTTTATGCCGTTTAATAGAAAAACAACAAAACGAAACACAGAGGAGGCACATCCATAATGACACCCAGCACAGCACGGGCCCGGGGAGACGGCGAGGAGAGCGGGGCTGGCGCTACTTGCCGCCGCTCTTGGGGAGGGGCCGGTAGACTCCGATGACCACGGCGTGGTCCCGCTCGTAGGGCTCCAGGGTCAGCTGCTCTTGAGGCTTCAAGTTCTCCTGCTGCAACTTCCTCACCTCCGAGGCAAACACAGCCTCGGCGGAGGCGGTGGAGTCGATGCAGTTGGCCTTGATGGAGATGAGAAAGTGGCCCCCGTTGCGCAGGAAGGTGTGCGCGTTCAGAGCCACGATGCGCGACTGGTCCGGCTGCGCCACGTCGGCGAAGATCACGTCCACCATGCCGATGAGCATGCGGTACTTGAGCGGGTGCCGCGCGTCTTCCAGCACCGGGATGATGTTGGTTCGCTTCTTGGCCACGTTGACCAGGTCGCGGCCGGCGCGGTGGGAGAACTCGACCGCGTAGACCAGCCCGTCGGGGCCGATGATGTCGGAGACGTGGGAGACCGTGGTGCCCGACGCGGCGCCCAGGTACAGCACTTTGGACTTGGGCTTAATGTGGATCTGGTCGACCCCGCCCAGGATGGCGGCGGCCAGCTTGGACCGGAACGGGTTCCACGTGCGGTACTCCTGCTTCACGCCGCCCTCGGTCACCGTGACGCGCCGCTCGCCGTACACCGACAGGCCGGGCACCATGTTCAGCGTGACCAGCGCGTCCTCCGCCCCGCGGTAGATGAACACGCCCTCGTGCCGGTGCGGCTCCACCGACACGGCGATGACGCCCTTCTTGCGGCGGCTCTTGCTCTTGGCGCCGCCGCCCGCGCGGGCGCCCCGCGCGCCGCCGCGCGCCCGGTCCGGCGGTCCGCCGGCGCACCGCCGGCCCGGCCGGCCCGCCGCCGCCCCCGCGCGCGCGCCCGAAGCCCGCTTGCCGCCGACGCCCTCGCCGCCTCGCCCGCGCCCAGCCGCCGCCCACAGCGCCGCCCCCGCACGTCCCGGCTTCAGATCGCGCGCCGGGCGGCCCGGGCAGGCCCTCAGCGTTACCGCGCGCCCCGCCCCGCTCGGGTGCTCGCGCCGCTGCCGGCGTCCGCGGCCCTGCGGTGGTCTTTTTGCGCGGGGACGAGGCTTCCAGCTGCAGTGGTCGTCCCGCGCGCTCTCGACGGCGGGGCCGCCGGGCCGGCTCTACGCAGTCCCCGCATGCCGCGGAGCGGTCTTTGACGCAGCGCCTGGCTGATTGCATCACAGCCGCCTGGGCGACCCGCAGCCCGGGAGACCCGCTTCCCGCCCGCGCGCAGCAGCAGCTGCTCCCTCGGCCCCCTGTCCCTCCCCACCCTTCCCCGGGCGTGGGGACAGGGACGTCTCCCTCGGCACCCTTTCCTCGCCCACCTTTCCCGGCGGCTGGCGACGGGACGTCTCTCGGCACCCCTTCACCTCCACTTCCGGGCGGTGGCGACAGGGACGTCTCCTCCGCCACCTTCCCCTCCCCCCTTCCCCGGGCGGTGGGGACAGGGGACGTCTCCTCGCACCTCTCCCCCTCCCCCATCTTCCTGTGCGTGGGAAAGGCACGTCCTCTGCAGCGGGAAAAGGGAGACGAATTGAGCTTCATCCTTGCTGTGCCACTTTGCTTTGCTGTGTGGTCTCCAGGAAGCTTACCCTGACTCTTGAGATTTGTCTGAGCTTTGGGCAAGCTTCTTAAGTCTGTCTCACATCCCATCTCTAAGTGCGCTGTAGCATTAGCTGTTTATTTATTACGTTATTTTAGCAGACCAAGCTCTCAGACCTCTGTCATCTGGGCTGGCAGTGCAGTGCGTCATCATCTCATGCGTTTCAAGCACTTGGGCTCAAGTGCATCTCTCCTCGCGTCTCAGCTCCCACACATACTGGCATTTAAGGCCACGCTCAATTGTTTCTAGACTTTTGAAACGCACACGGACTTTCCTTTTGCTCAGGCTGTCTCAAACCGTCCTGCCTCAAAGCGACTCCTGCCTCAGCCCCTCACAGCAGTGCTAGCATTACACGGCCCAGCATTCTTCTTTTGTTTGGATTTTCCACACATTTCTTTCTGGTCACTCTCTTATGTGGCACTTAATAGTTTACATACAATTAATGCACCATTTTATTCTTTGTTTTCTTCTTTTAACTACGCATCGTAGTTACTGTTAACAGCTCTTCTGCCCTCAGCAAGTGCATGGTCTCTGGTCGAAAAGTTTGCTTGGCATGCCACATTGATCCCAGATACTGTAAGCAACGTTAAAACGTATCTGTTTGATATCTTCGTGTGACATGGGGATACACAGGTCAGTACCTAAATCTCATAACACAGCTCAGCACAGAGCCAGACACTCGTCAATGTTTAACTTCTTGGACTCATCTATCTCGCCGCCCGTCACGCCAGATCTCCACCCTCGTTTTCTTTGTCCTTTTCCTCCCTTTCTATTCGTGCAGCCCACGACGATCTCGCTTTGTTGCCCAGGCTAGATGGAGTCGCCGTGCGAGCCGCGCGTCAGCCTACACGCTCACACGCAACCTCAAACTCTGGCTCGAGTGACTCTTCGCCCTCGGCCTCCGGTAGCGTGGACGACGAGGCATCGCACCCATGCCGGTAATTCTTTATAGTAACTACCGGCCGGCCAGCTTGGCAAGTTAATTTCTGTTTCTATTAGTAGTCAGCACGCCGGGGGGTTTTTTTTTTTTTTTCCCTGCGCTCTTTGCTTCAGGCTGTGAACTCCTGCACTTGGCAACTCGCCGCCTCGGCTCGCCGGCAACGACAGCGTAGGCGATTACAGGCGTGCACAGCGCCCGCGCCAAAATTCCCTCTTTCTCTAATCTCACGCATCTGTGATATCTAAAAAAAAAGAACCATTGGGCAGAACCAAGGACAGCAACAAAGATGCATAGGCGTTAGCATGTGGTCAGCACCATGGACAGCGACACCAATTGAGGCCATTTTGGCTACTGCAGGGGAGGGGGGTTGGGGTTCACCCAAGAGCCTGGGAAATCGGTGTAGGCGGTGTAAGCAACTGGGCAACCTCTCTATTGGAGGAACTAAGTACCTGGTCCAGAGAGAGTGACAGAGTGTATCTGAAGATCTGAGCATACGTCAGGCAGGCGGCACTGAACGCTCCAGACATGCAAACGGCAAAGCTCTCGTTCCATCCTGGACCACAGCTCTGACTGCCTCACATGCGCGATGCCAGGCCTGGTTTTCCCTGAATGGCGCCTCCTTAATGGGGGCCAGAGGTGTATGCATTAGAATGTGAACAAGGGTCAGAGAGTGAAATGTTTGGTTCCTGAGGTAAGTAAAATACTCGTGTAAAATACTCTCCTTGGAGGTTTCCACTCTCTCTGCAAACTAAAGAATGTTCTCCAAAATGATGAGCTATACTTGGCGTCTTAATTTGGGTTTCCCCAAAAAATCAGACCCTGTGAGGCTTAATTGTGTGTCAACTTGAGTGGACCATGAGGTGCCCAGATATTTGGTCAAATATTATTCTAGGTGTTTCTGCATGGGTTTTTGGTTTTTGTTTTTGAGACAGAGTCTCGCTCTGTTGCCCAGGCTAGAGTACCATGGCATCAGCCTAGCTCACAGCAACCTCAAACTCCTGGGCTCAAGCAATCCTCCTGCCTCAGCCTCCCGAGTAGCTGGGACTACAGGCATGCACCACCATGCCCGGCTAATGTTTTCTATATATATTAGTTGGAAAAATAATTTCTTTCTATTTATAGTAGAGACGGGGGTCTCGATCTTGCTCAGGCTGGTTTTGAACTCCTGACCTAGAGAAATCCTCCTGCCTCGGCCTCCCAGAGTGCTAGAATCACAGGCGTGAGCCACCTCGCCCAGCCTGGGAGCTGTTTCTGAGGGCTTTAACTCCCCTGCCCTTCAAATTGTCCCTGTGCGTGGTTCAGCAAGCTCCCGTGATGTTGCCGGGAGCCCTACTGCAGAGAAGCCGGCCCTTGAGGTGAGAAGCCACCGCCAGCACATCTCATATACAATCAGAACTTATTTGAGGCCGGGCGCGGTGGCTCATGCCTGTAATCCTAGCACTCTGGGAGGCCGAGGCGTGTAGATCGCTCAAGGTCAGGAGTTCGAAACCAGCCTGAGCAAGAGCAAGACCCTGGCTTTACTATAAATAGAAAGAAATTGACCAACTAAAAATATATATACAAAAATTAGCCAGGCATGGTGGCACATACCTATAGTCCCAGCTACTCGGGAGGCTGAGGCAGGAGGATTGCTGGAACCCAGGAATTTGAGGTTGCTGTGAGCTAGGCTGACACCAAGGCACTCTAGCCCGGGCAACAGAGTAAGACTCTGTCTCAAAAACAAACAGGCTGGGTGTGGTGGCTCACGCCTGTAATCCTAGCACTTTGGGAGGCGGAGGCGGGCGGATTGCTCAAAGTCAGGAGTTCGAAACCAGCCTGAGCGAGACCCCATCTCTACCAAAAATAGAAATAAATTAATTGACCAACTAAAAATATATATACAAAAAATTAGCTGGGCATGGTGGCACATGCCTGTAGTCCCAGCTACTCGGGAGGCTGAGGCAGTAGGATCTCTGAGCCCCGGAGATTGAGGTTGCTGTGAGCCAGGCTGACGCCACGGCACCCACTCTAGCCTGGGCAACAAAGTGAGACGCTGTCTCAAAAAAAAAAAAAACAAAACAAAAAAACAAACCAACAAACTAAAAAACTTATTTGAGCTCATAAAGCTTATTACATTAGGAAAGAGAGCCATATCATAAATGTACTGACACTACATGTGATGCAGGTATTCAACTTAGCCTACAAAGCCTTCGTCAATAGCATTATAATTTTCTACTCTGCTGTAGAAAAATAATAGGTGTCACATGAAAGTGTGCAGTTACATTTAATTAGCTTCTGCCTTTCGTGCAAGCTTCCAAAGCCCAGCCCCACAACGAAGCCTCTCCACTCTGCCTCTAGGCTGCGGGAGGAGACCCAACTCCAACATCAAGAGATCTGCCGACTTTTGTCTAAAACAGTTTCCACGAGTCTGTTCTTCACTCCAGACATAAGCCTTAGAGGGCACGCCTACTGGCACAGTCCCGCCTTTGTCTTAGCGCTTTCTGTGACATTGTCATTAACTCTCCTTTACCACAATACAAGTTTCTCCCGAGACGCTGTCCACAGCCTCTGAAAGGGACCGAAGTGGCCCTTCCAGAATATTAGCTGCTCATTTCAGAACTGATACTCAAAGACGTGCGTTCTCATGCGATCCATTAGATGGAATCCATTGGGAGGGGTGTCTAGTGGTTACAGGTGACAACTTAATGAATTTAGAGCTGTTCACTAGGAGCGATTGCTGTAAACTAGTTGGATTGGGTCACATTGCTGAATTCTAGCAGTGACACTTTCTCCAGATGCCTTCCCATCGCTGCCCCCAGCTGCTCATCAATTTCGTCACGTCACTGCTGTCATTTCCAATAATCTGCTAAGGGTAGGCAAGCCCAAACTGGCTTTCTCAGGCCTCTTTCTACTGTCTCATTGCTGGTGACAGCCGCAGGACTGATCTAACCAAGTTTGCAGTCTTGCTTCTGACCAGAAGAATCCTTTGCCACCGTAGTGTTTGACTCCCGCAGAGAAGTGTCCTGTCTCCTGGCCTTGGTTCTGAGTACCCTCCGGCAGGGCCATTTGTTACGGGCCGTCTGCTGGGACACTACAGCCTGGGAGCAACCAACGGCCAGCAAGACTTTCAGTCCACTGAGCATGTTCCACCTTTCCTGTGAATGCCCACAGAATGCCACCAGGGCAGGGACTCATGCCAGGTATTGGTGTCATAGGTGGACTGAGGTGTCAAGAAGATTCTTTCATTAAAGTTTTCATCTGGGACCACGGAAAAGATGGAAATCTGTCTCATTCCCAGAGGTTTTTAGCAGTGGATCCCATCTACTAAGATATTTCCTAATGGGAGAAGTTGGCATTGTGATCCGTACATTTCCCTCTGAGAGCCAGTAAGAATAACTATAGTCACTTATACTTTTGTTCGCAATTACCTTGTTATTCCATAAGACATGCTCTATAGCTATGCCATAATTACATCTGTGACCTGGGCTCAGAGGAAGACGTAGGGTATATTAATCCTACCCACAGATTTGAAAAGATGCATGAGCAACTTTGCTCTGTTTTCTCACACGCCATCCCAGCATTCCCTGAAGAGTGACTAGCCATGATTTCAGTAAAACCAGCAGGATGGCTGTAGAACCCCCCCACCCCCATTCTCATAGCACTTAAACATTCATGGGCAAAGCAGCTTTCCCAACCTGTTTTCTATAAGCCATGGCCACATCTAAGGGTGACCTCCACCACCAGTGACAGGCAGAGCTGTATTTGCTCAAGATGGGCTGGGCTACGATGCAGTCACATATAACTCCCAAATCTCAATGGATTAATACAACTATGTTTATTTCTTGCTTATATGTCATGTCTGCTGAAGGTCAGTGGAAAGTTTGCCCCACACAGCCACTGAACAACTCAGGCACTAACATCTTGTGTGTGCAACATGAGGAAAAAGAGGGTTTCCATTGTTACCATTGGGGAAGAGAGTGCATGGAGAACTCACCTCCTTTCTGTATGTTTTGCTGAGAATTGGACACAATCATTTCTACTCATGACCCATTGGCCACAGCCAGTCACATGCTCTGCCTGGGATCGCCTGAGCCCAGGAGTTTGAGGTTGCTGTGAGCTAGGCTGATGCCATGGTACTCTAGCCTGGGTGACAGAGTGAGACTCTGTCGTTTTTTTTTTTTTTTTTTTGAGACAAAGTCTTGCTTTGTTGCTCAGGCTAGAGTGAGTGCCGTGCTGTCAGCCTAGCTCACAGCAACCTCAAACTCCTGGCTCAAGCAATCCTCCTGCTCAGCCTCCCAAGTAGCTGGGACTACAGGCATGGCCACCATGCCCGGCTAATTTTTGATATATATTAGTTGGCCATTAATTCTTTCTATTTATAGTAGAGACGGGGGTCTCGCTCTTGCTCAGGGTGGTTTCGAACTCCTGACTGAGCAATCCGCCGCCTCGGCCTCCCAGAGTGCTAGGTTACAGGCGTGAGCCACCGCGCCCGGCTGAGACTCTGTCTTTCTTAAAAAAGGGATTTATTGTTTAATAGAGGGAAAAAAATCAAGATGACCCCCCGTGGATAGCAGATGACCTCTCATTTACCCCAGTATATTCAGAATAATTTCTCTATGACCCTGCTGGTATCATTAGTTCATTCTCTCTGCTGTCTGAGAGTTTGACAGCTGGCAGAAAAGGCCCCAAATGTAACCATAGAAAGTAAAAGAACATATTCAGATGTCAGTCGCTCTCACGGCTGGTCTTTGCCCCCTGGGGGACTCCAGACGACCTGTTGGTGACATCACCTTGGCCCTATGGATTCTTTGTGTCTCTAGGATTTGTACATTTTGTCAACTCAGAATTGGAGAGAAAACCTCTTCTTCACTAACCCCGTGATTCCTTGTTAATCCTAACTGATCTGACTGCAGCTTAGTTTCACTTATAATCTTATTTTGGCATCTCTCCATTTTAGACATTCCTAGGAAGATGGGGGGAAAATATCAAAGGCTTCCAGAAAAAAGAAACTTGATCAAAGTTGACCTCAATCTTGTCGCTCCTGTGCCACTGACTATTTGATGATTCCAATTGCCTTTGGACATTCTCTCAGATGTCAGATGGTTGAAAGCGATTTTATTTTATTCTTTTTATTTTTTATTTTCTTTGAGACAGAGTCTCACTTTGTTGCTCAGGCTAGAGTGAGTGCCGTGGTGTCAGCCTAGCTCCAGCAACCTCAAATGCTGGCTCAAGCAATCCTCCTGCTTCAGCTCCAAGCTGGGACCACAGGCATGCGCGCACCATGCCCGGCTAATTGTATTATATGTATATTTTTTTTTTTTTTTTTGAGACAGAGTCGCACTTTGTTGCCCAGGCTAGAGGAGTGCGTCGTGGCGTCAGCCTAGCTCACAGCAACCTCAAACTCCTGGGGTCGAGTGATCCTTGCCTCAGCCTCCCGAGTAGCTGGACTACAGGGTCATCGCCACCCAGTGCCCGTGCTATTTTGTGATACTAGATTATATAGCTTGGCCAATTATTTCTTTTCTATTATGATAGCAGACGGGTCTCG